GCGGATTTCCTCCATGACTCCGACTGAGGGATCCTCCATGGCCAATCGTGCTGCAGTCGGTGACGGCCAAGAGGAGAAGATATGGATCTCCCGCCGCCCCATGTCCTGGCTACCTCCGCACGCCCCCCACGACTGCGGCGATCCTCCCCCAAAGTCGGTCGTCCTCGACACCGTCGTCTACGCCGACGACCGCACCAACGCCTCCACCGCCGAGGGCTTCACCAGCAGCGGCGACGCCATCCGCCTCACCTTCTGGCCCGCGCATCCGCCGCTCATCTCCTACTTCACCATCCACCTACCCACCCTCCTCCCGGACGGATCCGCCACCTCGCTCATCCTTCTGCCACGCCTTGTCCGCACCGACGGCGACCTCGCCCTCTTCCGCGTCATGATCGGCTCTTCATACATCGACCCGGACCACAACAACTACGTCATCTACCGTGCCGGCGTCAACAAGCTTGAGGTGCTCCCCACCCACCCCACCCGCTTGTTCGCCGACTGTTCAGTTGCTCTCCTGCGCTGCCCCGACGACGGCAGGTTCTTGGTCGCCAATCTCCGTTCAACTTTCGACCTTGGGCAGTACGCCCTCGACCTGTTTGACTCCCGGTCAGGCACATGGATCACCAGGTCCATGTGTACAGAACCTCCACACGAGGACGGCCACTACCGCATTCCGACCAAGGTGATCGCCCTTGGTGGCGATCGCGGTTCAGTCGGCTGGGTCGACCTATGGAATGGCATCCTCATCGGTGATCTGCTCCCCGGCGGCGACGGCAATGACAACAACGTCCTCCGCTTCATCCGTTTGCCCGTGCTTTTGGCGCCCAACAAGATGACCCCGGGCTGTTTGTCCTGTGACCAGGACGTCTCTGTCGGCAGAGACGGCTCCATCAAATACTCAGAGGTGTGGGCTCATCCTGTCCCTGGCTCACCGACCTACATCTCCGAGGACTGGGGTGCTGCCATACTGACATGGCTGGAGTCCAAGAAGAAGTGGCACATCGACCTCAAGCTCAAAGCCTCGGACATCATCGTGGACGAGACTCACTCCCAGTTGCTTCCTCAGCATGATGTCAAGGCCACAACGAAGAATGCAACCTTGAGCAGACTTCACACAGGGCATCCTGTTCTCAGCTTGCATGATGATGATGTTGTTTACATCATGGCCAAGGTTTACCACATGGACGACGACTTGTGGATGCTTGCTGTTGACATGAGGAACAAGACTCTGAAAGGAGTGGCTGCTCTCACCAGTAAAAGAAGCTGGGGTTTTAGATTCATCTACCTGCAAAGTGACCTCTCCAGCCATCTGGTGCCCACAAGCGAAAACACCGAGGTCTTCAACCGTCCGCCCAAAAGCAAAAGGTCCTCACGCAAGTCCTACTACATATATTTCCGTCTATCTAGTATTTCTGAAATAGTATTGCACTTGGTCGACATTAGGGGACTAAAGCAGGCAGTAGTTCACTAACCCTGGATAGCGGGGGCAACCTGCCCTTGGATCGAGTAGACTAGTAGTAACTATTTGGTCACAGTAAGGTTTATGTCTTTCATTGCAAGGTATGTCTTTGTTTTGGCCCCTCGAGTATAGTTGCGTAAACCTGTGGTATTTGCAAATATGGCAGGGAAACGGGGGGTGGTTCTAGGTCTCGTCAAAATAAAATGAAGCAGAAATTTGAAGGTGGAAACACAAATGGTAACCCAATAAGTGTTTTAATCAGAGTGATGTCGTCCTTTGGACCTGCTATTTCCTTGCCAATATACATGTGACATCTTATCAACTAGTGTAAGCAGGTTATCACCTGAGGTTGTCTTTTTACGCTAAAAGATTTGCACCTTCTTTATCTCTTCACAGAAAGAAGAATCCTTCTAAAACTGCCAAGCAACAACCTGGGAAGACTCTTGCTAACAGCTGTCGTGTGGAACAAGAAGAACAGGAGCTGAGGATACTCGAGCCTCGAGTTATTACTATTCAGCCCCCCTCTGTACCTAAGGAGGACTCTGTTGGCATATTACCTCCAGGACAGGGGTCTGATGTGCCAGAAGGCATTGGTGGTGCTTCCGCAAATGTGAGTGCACCAAGATCATTTACCCTGGAGGTCAAGAATGACGGCGCTGGAGATGCCAACGAGCAAACTAAGGAGACAAGTGCAAGCAATGCCACTGGCCTAACATCTCTAGGACCATTATCCCCGTCTGATGAAGGCGCGGTCTTGAATAATGACTTGATAGAGAAAACAGATGGCTATCTCTCTGATGAACATTCATTTGAACACAACCAAAGTAAGTTATGAAAGATGTCATTTACCTCTTTTTATCTGTACTTTCATTTGAGCCTGTGTGAAGATCTGTTATGCTAGGACATGTTGGAGTTACTATTTCTGTATGACCCTGAGCTGTTTTTATTTTTTGATGCATGTTTATTGCCTATTATCAGCTCACCCACTGGCAAACAAGCATGCCTACCTACCAAACACAAGGTTCAGTGTGATGTGGTACATCAAACCCTGATTTTTGTGCCTCTTTTCTGAATTCTTTTTACCTTGGGTCTCCCGGACTGTAGAGCTTATGCATACCTCTTTTTGTATTTCATGTTGCATGCTCCCTCCTTGTCTAACTGACCAGAATTCCCTGTCTTTCTAGTCACTTTCTCTTTTGTTAATTATATAGATCGTCTTTCTCAATTTTAATGATTTCATCCTTCTAGATGCAGATTCAAATGGTGATATGTGTACTACAGCGTATCAGTTGGAAGACTTGACCATACATGAGGAAAACAGACCAAAACCATCTGATGATAACCCAGCTGTAATAATCCCAGGCCACCTTCAGGTTTCCAATGCTGATTTTGCGCACTTGACATTCGGTAGTTTTGTGTCTGGGACACTCGATGCATCATGCTCCATGATGCCTGCCAATACACCAGCAATGCCGCCTTTCCGTGAGTTGGATCCAGCATTCTCACTGCTGCTTACTAACCCTCCATTGGCTACAATGGTTCATGGTACACCACAATCGTCCGTGAACAATGCAACTGTTTCTTCACATCCTCAAGAGGTATGAACACTTCACTGAATCATGGACTAGACGACAACTCTTTTGAGAGTAGCCATGTGTTACAAATTCTATATGTACGAATTCTGGTAAAAGGGTAAAATATATTTGTTTGGTGAGGAACATGTGTTAGTTGTATACAGTTTTACTTGCTGCACTCTAAAATGTGTCTGGAAGTTGCAGCCTGCAACCAGGATAACTCTTGCTTACTGCTCTTAGTGCAGCTATGCTGCATGTTAATTGTTAACTATGCCCATAGTGTTAGCAATCAATTTTTTGGTCAAATCCTGTTGTAGTTACATCTGCCTCGTGCTTTATTTTGTTCAGTTCTGTGTCTTGTGGCTAGCAACACTTACATTTGTGCCTAATTCTGCGTGGGCATTTTTGCTCTAGAGAGCTAAATTGTAGCTGTATTACTCATTAGGATTTTATTATGCTGTTATTTTTGTTACTGAAAAAGCTGCAATTCTGCTGTTCTCTTGTTACGTTAGATGTTCAGTTTTCTTAGTTATTTCTGCAGCACCATTCTAATATGGTTTGTTCTTGTAGAATGTTAACCAAGGTGGTTTATCCAACCCACAGTTGACCCACTCTCAGAGAAGCACCGGCATTGCCCCAGGTCCTCCTCTGCCTCACCATCTTGCTGCCCTTCATCCTTATGCTCAAGGAGGGCTTCCCCTTGGATATGAAAACATGATCGGATACCCATCTTTGCCGCAAAGCTATGCGTATCTCCCGCCTGCTGCCTATCAGCAAGCATACATGAACAGTGGTCTATTCCACCAAGGCGCAGCTGCAGCTCCCAACTCGGGCGTAAAATACCCAATGCCACAATACAAGAGCAATGTTCCTCTTGGGAGCCTTCCACAGCCAGCCACGATGCTCTCCAACTACCTTGGAGGTTCCGGAACTGCAAATGGCATGCCTCAAAACTTTGCCCTGAACCAAAGCAATCCGTCGGCAACCACAGCTCCTGGGTTTGATGGAGCAATGCCCTCCCAATACAAGGATGGAAACCCCTACATGTCTCTACAGCAGGTAAGAGATTCACGCAAGAGTGGGGGAACTAGATTTATATTAGGAAAATTGCTAACCTCCATGTTTGTCTGTGCAGGGCGAGAACCCTGCAATGTGGATGCATGGAGCTGGTTCGCGAGGAATGCCGCCTCGTGCGGCCAACCCCTTGTATGGCTATCAAGGGCAGCAGGGCTACCAGGGGCAGCAGGGCCACCAGGGCGGCCTTAGGCAGGGGCAGATGCCGTCGCAGTACGGCACAAGGCTCGGGCAGTCGCAGCCAGGCCTAGGACCCGAACACCGAAACCCCAGCGACGGAAACTTGAGTGCTGCCGCCGCCGCCCAGGCTAACCAAATGTGGC